CCTAGGGGAAAACCCCTGGTTGTTAGTAGGTTGAGTAGCTGAGCGGTAGGATGGTTAGGCAGGTGATTTAGTTTTGGATGTGTTGTTGATCGGCTGGCTCTTTAGCTAGCTGGTGTTGTAGTTTCTATACTACAGTAGTTCTTCCTAATGCGGCTACCCTTTAATACAGTTCCTTATGCTGTTGCGACCCACAACCATACAGTTATTTTCGTTGCTACTTCAAAACTTCAGTGAGTATTTATTTTCCAATGGTCTTTGGCGAGTCCTGTAAAAGGGTAGTTCGACTTGTAAAAGGGACCATCGACCCATATTTTGAGAACCGCTGCTTTACTGGCTAGCCAGCTGGTTTGTTAGTTGTTTAATTTAAATGACGGGTGATTGATTGATTGATTGATTGATTGTTGGTGGGATGGGTAGCTGATAGTCTTATTCTTCTTAGCGTTCCCCGGCTCTAAACTCTGGCAAAAAGTTATGGTTGTTCGTCCACTTCTAGACTTTAGTCTTGCCCCAGAGTTTGACTTTCCCGTGCACATTCGTTTAAAGGTGCTAAGTATGGCTTTATGAAGGCTGTTGGTTGCTGACCTTGCACACAGAAGCGCTCCGAACTCAGACGAACAATCCAGTTAGTCGCTTTTTACGACATGCTTTGTGGGGAGGCGGGGGGGGGGGGGTGTCTATTCCGTTAGCCTCCCCCTCCCCCCCCCAAAAAAAAACAGCATCCTGGAACCCACACTGGAATAGCTGGTAGTCAGCTGGTTTGCCTGACTACTGGTACTTGAGCTGGTTTGCCTGACTGCTGGTTGTTGAGCTGGTTTGCCTGACTGCTGGTTCTTGAGCTGGTTTGCCTGATGGCTGGTTTTTGAGCTGGTTTGCCTGATGGCTGGTTTTTGAGCTGGTTTGCCTGATGGCTGGTTTTTGAGCTGGTTTGCCTGATGGCTGGTTTTTGAGCAGGTTTGCCTGATGGCTGGTTTTTGAGCTGGTTTGCCTGATGGCTGGTTTTTGAGCAGGTTTGCCTGATGGCTGGTTTTTGAGCTGGTTTGCCTGATGGCTGGTTTTTGAGCTGGTTTGCCTGATGGCTGCTTGTTGGATCTTCCGAAAGCCTAAGCTTTAATTTAATGTTCGATCTGATGTGCCAGAACTTGGGAACTCTGCCCCCTCCCAACCCCACCCCCCACGCTACCAAAATGTCTAAAGGGGTCAAATACCCCCTTCCCCGCAACCAAGTATAGAAGTTCGTTTTCAAGTATTTGTTTACACATTATCTGTTATTTCAAATATTTCACAACATTTATATGCCCCTGACCGCATAATAAAATAGCAATAATAATCATAACAATAATAATTTCTATCTAAGACACTTTTCAACGCCTTAAGTACAATTGGGCATAAGTGGATAGACCTTGATTTTATAGACTAATCGGAAGTCGTGGGTGATGTGGTCAACATAAGGCTGGCCATCTTTACTTCCCAGGACTTCACCTTGTATACCTTTAAGGCTGGATCGACCTGTGAGCCAAGGGTCATTTTTTTAAGTCTACCACCGTCAGGGTTTGAACCTACGACCTTTGGACACGCACGCGAGTGTCTAGCCGTTATACCACAGAGGCTCTCAGTAATAATAATAATAATAATAATAATAATAATAATAATAATAATAATAATAATAATAATAATAATAATAATAATAATAATAATAATAATAATGATAATAAAAGTAATAATAATAATAATAATATTACTTAGTAAAACATGGTTAAATCCGCTGAGCCAACCCTCCCCCCACCCCTCCCACCGCACCCACAACTCACCGCTTTATGTCTGATTCGTGTTTAGTCACTTCCGTTTGAGCTATGAAAAGAACCGTTTCCCACCCCACTTTTCTTTTGCTTATTTAAACGTTGCGCTGTGGTACCTATTGATGATTGTAAATGTTCACATGCTTTTCACACAACGGAGATCCCAGTGGGGGTTTCGGGGCCCTATTATAAGGAAAACAAGAATAGTCCTACTGCCTACCCAAAAGCATGTCTCAAGAGGCGACTAACTGGGAGCTTCCTTCGAAGTCGAAGTACATCTGCCTGAGAGGCAAGGAACCAACAATCTGCACACAAATGTGTCAGATCTGTCAAACGGATACACAAGCAACACTCAGGTTCTGGAACAGGACTACAGTCCAGAAGTGGACGAACAACCAAAACTTTCCATCAGAGTTTACACCTGGTGAACGCAAAGCAATAAGAAGACACAACGGAGAAAGATATACTGAAATTTTGTTTTTAAAATCTCTTTACTGCCAGGTGTAGCGGCGAGACGCTTGCCTGTGGTTCGAGGGTCGTGGGTTCGAATGGACCCAGACTTTTCCCTTCAAAACGACCTTCTCTTTCAGTTCAACCTAGCCTTAAATGAGTACCAGCCAAAGTCATGGGACGTAAAGGCGGCGGTATGATGTTGACCATATCACCCACCGGCTGCCGATTGATCTATAAAATATAGGTCTAGCCCTACATGCCCAGTACGCTAAAGGCGTGAAAAAGAGTCCTTCACTTTTACTTTCCCAGTATATACCCTTTTTTAAAGATTATGTAGGACAATGGGAATAATAAACACTACCTAATATAATGCCTTCAGTTTTATCGTTAAACGTATACAATACGCCTCGAGGTCTAATAAATTGATTGCTACTGTTTAAAAGGTCATCGACATTTCACTAATAGAAACTGAATTACAACAGAGAAAGCTGGAGTGCAGACGCATAAGCCTAGCCAGACACAACAGTGTAATGGATGGTAAAGAAGAGACGGAACTGACGGGGAGTATTAAAGAATAACAAGAAAAACAAAGCCACAACAGATAAAAGAAATGGAGATATACAAGTAACTTGGAAAATACCAAGGTATGGTGCAGATGTATGGTTTTGGTTGGTGTCATAATCATCGTCAGTTGTCAGAAAAAAAAATGTGTCGCGTTCAACCAGCGTTCCCTAAGTGGGAGCGGTAGGTTATAGTTATGATTAGGTTATGTACCCCATATAAAATGGCCTAGCAGTACCACCATAAGCCACGAAAAGGACTTCTGCAGTGTTGATGCGATGAAAGGAAACAGACCAAAACACAGTCCCGACCGGCGACGAAGTGCTCTACCGGCGAGCCAACTGCCGATGAATAAATGGGTGTAGTTATTTATTGTGTCGCTGCCATGGTGACCCTTAAGTCTGTCGGTGTCACTCCCATTGTGACCTCTCTGTCTGTTGGTGCCACTCCCATGGTGACATCAATGTCTGTTGGTGCCACTTTCATAGTGACCTCTCTGTCTGTTGGTGCCACTCCCATGGTGACATCAATGTCTGTTGGTGCCACTTTCATAGTGACCTCTATGTCTGTTTGTGCCACTCCCATGATAACCTCTATGTCTGTTTGTGCCACTCCCATGGTGACGTTTATATCTGTTGGTGCCACTCCCATGGTGACAATTATATCTGTTGGTGCCACCCTCATGGTGACCTCTATGTCTGTTGGTGCCACTCTCACGTGACATCTATGTCTGTTGGTGTCACTCCCATGGTGACATTTCTGTCTGTTTGTGCCACTCCGATGGTGACCTCTATATCTGTTGGTGCTACTCTCATAGTGACCTCTATGTATGTTGGTGCTACTCTCATGGTGACCTCTATGTCTGTTGGTGCTACTCTCATAGTGACCTCTATGTATGTTGGTGCTACTCTCATGGTGACCTCTATGTCTGTTGGTGCTACTCTCATAGTGACCTCTATGTATGTTGGTGCTACTCTCATGGTGACCTCTATGTCTGTTGGTGCTACTCTCATAGTGACCTCTATGTCTGTTGGTGCTACCCTCATGGTGACCTCTATGTCTGTTGGTGCTACTCGCATGGTGACCTCTATGTCTGTTGGTGCTACTCTCATGGTGACCTTTATGTCTATTGGTGCTACTCTCATAGTGACGTCTATGTCTGCTGGTGCCACTCCTATAGTGACATTTATGTCTGTTTGTGCCACTCCCATGGTGACTTCTCTGTTTGTTGGTGCCACTCTTACGTGACATCTATGTCTGTTGTGCCACTCCCATGGAGAAATTTATGTCTGTTTGTGCCACTCCCATGGTGACCTCTATGTCTGTTGGTGCTACTCTCATAGTGACCTCTATGTCTGTTGGTGCTACTCTCATAGTGACCTCTATGTCTGTTGGTGCCACTCCTATAGTGACATTTATGTCTGTTTGTGCCACTCCCATGGTGACTTCTCTGTTTGTTGGTGCCACTCTTACGTGACATCTATGTCTGTTGTGCCACTCCCATGGTGACATTTATGTCTGTTTGTGCCACTCCCATGGTGACCTCTATGTCTGTTAGTGCTACTCTCATAGTGACCTCTATGTCTGTTGGTGCTACTCTCATAGTGACCTCTATGTCTGTTGGTGCCACTCCTATAGTGACATTTATGTCTGTTTGTGCCACTCCCATGGTTACTTCTCTGTTTGTTGGTGCCACTCTTATGTGACATCTATGTCTGTTGTGCCACTCCCATGGTGACATTTATGTCTATTTGTGCCACTCCCATGGTGACCTCTATGTCTGTTGGTGCCACTCCTATAGTGACATTTATGTCTGTTTGTGCCACTCCTATGGTGACCTCTATGTCTGTTGATGCCACTCCTATAGTGACATTTATGTCTGTTTGTGCCACTCCCATGGTGACCTCTATGTCTGTTGATGCCACTCCTATAGTGACATTTACGTCTGTTTGTGCCACTCCTATGGTGACCTCTATGTCTGTTGGTGCCACCCTCAAGTGATATCTATGTCTGTTGGTGCCATTCCCATGGTGACATTAATGTCTGTTGGTGGCACTCTTATAGTGACCTCTATGTCTGTTGGTGCCACTCTCATTGTGACCTCTATTTATGTTGGTGAAACACTCATGGTGACCTCTCTGTCTGTTGGTGCCACTCCCATGGTGACTTCTCTGTTTGTTGGTGCCACTCTCACGTGACATCTATGTCTGTTTGTGCTACTCCCATGGTGACATTTATGTTTGTTTGTGCCACTTCCATGGTGACCTCTATGTATGTTGGTGCTACTCTCATAGTGACCTCTATGTCTGTTGGTGCCACTCCTATAGTGACATTTATGTCTGTTTGTGCCATTCCCATGGTGACCTCTATGTCTGTTGGTGCCACTGACATAGTGATATTTATGTCTGTTTGTGCCACTCTCATGCTGAGCTCTATGTCTGTTGGTGCCACTCCTATAGTGACATTTATGTCTGTTTGTGCCACTCCCATGGTGACCTCTATGTCTGTTGGTGCCACTGCCATAGTGATATTTATGTCTGTTGGTGCCACCCTCACGTGACATCTATGTCTGTTGGTGCCACTTCCATGGTGACCTCTATTTCTGTTGGTGCCACTCTCGTGGTGACTTTTATTACTATTGGTGTTTGATCGCTCAGTGTGTCCTCTCACAGCAGGTTCACAGGTTCACCACCCCATCCCAAGATTAAAAATTTCTCAGTTTAGTTGAGTTGAGCTGAGTCAAGAACTGACATCACAGCATTCGGGGCATTCTCATATGCGCTTCATCCCCATCTTTAGCAGCCGGTGCAGAGTTTTAACACTTATGGTACCGGTCGGAGTCTGATTATATGTCCTCTGAGTGTAGTGAGCCCGCTAGACCCGCTGGTTACACACATTTGCATCGTTCTCTCTATACCATAATCAAGTTTTTCTTCGATTTCGGCACTTGTTCACAAATGGCCTTGACCACATCTGCCTTGTCATGTATCATGATTTCACTACCTAGTGGTGCAGACCCAGCCGATCTGTCTGCCTGTTCTTTTCTCAAAACGCCGGATGGCAGACCAACAAGGCAGATCCTAGATAGCCCTTTCAACATCTAAATAGTGCGTAATTAGGGCACCCCTACCGGCTACAGCAGCCAGGTATAACCTGCAGTCCTACGCAGGTAAAGATCATTATTGGGCTAACCCAATGACGTTTCTGACTTATTGATAGGGACAGTCCTTAGCGATATCTCTAACTAATGTGCGATATCTCTAGATAATGAATAGGGCACTAGAACACAGAATAACGGTTAGTTTCGTATCCTTTACAGGACGTTGCAGAACCAACCCCAACAGCCCCTGGCTGTTGTGTGATTTTTCTAGGCAAATTTACATCCAGTTAGTTTGAAATTGCTTTACAAACAATAAATACATGTGAAAAAAAACATTGTCTCCGCAAAGTCAATAACAACACAAGAAGAAGACAGGGTTATGAATACCACCAGCATTAGAAAGAAATTTGGAATAAGACCATGTCTGGATTATATTGGCGGACAGAGATTGAAGTGGTTTGGTCATCTAGTAAGAATGCAGCCAGACAAAACTGCATGTGAGACTTTTTACAGAGGAACATCGAGGGGTGGGGGCGGGGGGGGGCGGGGAGAGGAAGACCAAGACAGGTATAGATAAATGGTGTAGCTGAAACCTGCCAAAATATGAATAAATCCATCACCCAAGTCACCCGAGAAGCGCAAAACAAATACAGAAAACTACGACACTGGGCTACAATCTGGTATCAACGAGACGACAAAAGAAGAATAAAATCTCTAAATAATAGTGTATTTATGGTTATTGATGCTTTTTCCAGTTTGATACCCCTGGTTAATGGTGTCACTTCCGTAGTAATACAAAAGACTCGTATGATTCTCATAGTTACAAATCTAACGGAGCCAATCCCCTGTACAAACTAATGATGTCATTCGCGTGGTTTCATCTTGGGATAATGATGATCCCAAAGTGTCAGCGATCCCAACTGGGGGTCATCCCCTGCATGGTATTTCGTATCAGTGACAGCATTAACATTGTGGCATTCCGATGAAGAAGTTAGTTGCGTATCCTTTACAGGACGTTGCAGAACCAACCCCAGGGGCTGTTGTGTGGTTTCTCTAGGCAATTTACATGCAGTAGTTTGCCATTGCTTCCTGGACGGTCGGCTTTCTTGATACCACTGTCGAAACCAACGCAAGGCGCATTGCCCGCAGCTAGGATCGAACCTGACACCCCGGCATTACGGAGCGAAGCGTTCGCATCGACTTAGCCACAGAGCCGACCTTTTCCGATGATGAATGCATTATTATATAATCGTATTTGCCTAATAAATACAAATGGACGACTCCTAAAGCACACGATTCAGGCTTAAAGTTATTGACGATATCGACCCAATCTTTTCCTATCCAGAATGACAGTCAAAACAAGTAAGAAGATACACACTGCTGTATATATTTGCAAAGCTGAGATTCCGTTTTATGCCTATAGTCGCCTATAGTCGATTAGCTTGTCCAGATACTCACATGTATTTATATATATTTTTGCCATTCTGTGACACTCCCCCCCCCCCCACTCCCCCTTTTTTTCACACACACACACTAACACACACACACATATGTATTGTTTTGTTGTTGCCATTATGTCACCCCCCCCCACCCCACATACACACTAACACTTATAGTTTATATTTTGCCATTCTTTTCTCTTTCCCCCCCTCCCTTCCCCCTTACAGACACTCACGCGTATGTTTTATATTGTTTGCTATTCAATCACCCCACCACTACCCCTCCACCAACACTGACATGTATTTAAAATGTTGTTATTTTTTTTTTTTTTACTATTCTGTCACCCCACCTCCACCCTCCCTACTTACACATATCTGTTATAATACACCACCCTTTTTCCCCCCACACATACACACACACACACTTACACACACACGCACCACAACCACCACCACCACCAACCCTCGGCGACTCGGTGATGACACGCAGAGACCGGCCCGTACACCTCTTCCTACGCTCCTTTACTGATAATGGCCACCTCATCCAGGTGTAACCCACAGTCCTGTGTGTGCAAGACGATGCCAGTGACTCATTCAGCTGTGTGACAACAGTACATTCATAGTGGATAGTACAATCCCCCTTTCACGGGCGACGCCAAAATCAGGCTGACCGCATTTACTTCTCAGGACATTTTCTGATATTCATTTTCGGCTGGGTCAAATTGGCAGCCAGCGTCTATTTTTTTTTTTTTTTAAATCTGCATGGAGCGGACTCGAATTGGAGACCTTTGCGCAGGCAGGCAAGCAACTAGCTTTTAATCCAGGGATTACCAACCTGAGCGCTGCGGCACTCTGTGGAGCCGTGACCTTTTTACAGGGGCGCCGCGAAATATTCGAAGAGAAGCGAGTTTTTTTTCCCCTGTTATCTCTTACATAGTCATACTTTTACTTATGTCTGGGTGCCGTGGAATATTCGAAGAGACGCGAGTTTGTGTTATCTCTTACATAGTCATACTTTTACTTAAGTCTGGGCGGCGTGGAATATTTTTAACTGAAAAAAAAAAGCGCCGCGACTATGAAAAGTTTGGGAAACACTGTTCTACTCTATGGCGGCTTTCTATAGCGGTGTTGACAAACGCGTCAACCGCCGTCGTCTAGTTACCCTGCAGGCTGCGAGAGGTAGTTGTGCTGCTCTGTATCGAAATTAATATTGTTGTTTGACCTCCTCTAGCGGACTAGACTATACACAGTGGGCGTATAGTAATTTCTAAACTGAAAAGTAGTCCTTAAAACTTTTTTTTTTGTTACGGCCAGACACACTTTTTAAATCTCTCTACACGTGGTAGTGATTATGTGGCTAAGTCGATGCGAACGCTTAGTATTGCCGGGGTACCTGGTTTGATCCCAGCTGCGGGCCATGCGCCTTGTGTTGGTTTCGACAGTGGTATCAGTGGGCTGACTGTCCAGACCAGAAAGCAATGGCAAACTGCTGGACGCAAATTTGTCTAGAGAAACCACACAACAGCCAGGGGCCGCTGGGGTTGGTTCTGCAAAGTCCTGTAAAGGATACGCAACTAACCTACATATGGTAACAATCTGGTTATTAAAAAAAAAATCTTCTTCAGGTGTCTAAAGCAGAATCAAATAGTTAAGCTAGAATCAATAAGCTTTTTGTTGGTGCTTCGTTGACCATAATAAATAAATGCCATATCTGAGGTCTTTAATGTGCAACTTTTGTCTGTTCCCAATATTTTATAGTTCTAAGTTCTAAAGTTCTAGGTGTAAGGTGTGTCGACCACGCAGGCTCCTTGCTGCTTTATCTTGGAGAAAATCCGTTTATCTTCCTTTTTAAAACTTTCTTATCTTTACAATTGCTCAAGGTGGGTTTGATTTTGCAGCTAACATTGTCTACCGGACGGGGTATTGTATTGAGCTCTTCCCGCAGTCACTTCTTACGACACACACAATAAATAAAATAAAATAAAATGAAAAAATAAAAAATAAATTTAAAAACAACACAGAGGGCAAAATTTAAATGGCAACAGATAATTTAAATTACTTTAAATTTATAATCCTAAGGTAAATTGAACAAACGTCTCCTGGAGTGGCTCGACATATGTAACTCTTCATGACTGCCATAACAAATCGGGTATGGTAAGAAAAGGACCCTTTTCCACCCCTTTAGGCATGTAGGGCATATAGTGCTAAATTTATATTTCTGAAAACTACTAGATAGGTGATGTGTTCAATATCACACTTGTTGTCTTTTCTTTCCCATGAGTTTATCTGGTACTCGTTTAAAGCTTGGTCGACTGGGAAGTCAGGGCTTTTAAAAAACAATCAGGCTCCGTTCAGAATTGAACCCGCGATCTTCGGAAGCTAGCAGGGTAAGGTACGCTAATAGGTAATAAACTGTACTTACCTTCTGTAGTTTCCCGGCACAATGTGGTTGTAACAGAACCTTCTACGACCACTTGTCTGATGTCAACAGAAGCACTAGTCTTTTTATAGTGCCGATCGGCTGTCCAGAACCAGGTGGTCATACATCTCGAACAGCTGCTACACGTGCAGCATGCTCTGTCCACGCCCAGGACTAGCAAATGTGGTCTTTTTCCGGCTCCTAATGGAGACTGATATATCTCACAGCTACATTCTAAATTGAGAAATATTTTATCATAATTTTATCTCACGCACATCTATACACATAGTTGATCATTGTTTCGGTAAATTTTCGAAAACAAACATTGTTATTTTGGACACACCCTGCTGATATATTGTCAACACTGAAACTACCGGCAAAATAAACGAAAGAAATATCAAACGTGACTGAATATATATGGAATCCCAAAGGATCGTGGGGGTGGTTAGGAATAAAATACCATTAATTTATTTCAGCGTCTAACTAACCAATCGAGAATGGGTTTTTATTTTGTGGCTGTAATTCTCGTCTGATGCAGTTTGTCAGGAAATCTCTCTACAAGAAG